GCGCCCTGTTCTGAACCCGTATTGCCCAGGGTTATGTAGATGTTGTGATTCCATGTGTTTTATGATTTTACTTCTTAGCATATCCTTGGAAACACAAACCGAAAATGTCTCTATTTTCCGCTTGTTATAACTTGTAATAAAGTTGTTACATCTTGGCTTAACGTGTTTATGACGTATTAGAACGTTGTTACAACTTGCTATATTGGTTTTTATAAGTGGTTAGGTGTTAAAACTTGTTCGAACGTTGTACCAACGTTGTAGTTTCGCTGCGTGTTTGGCGGGCATGCACTCTTTCAAAGATTTTTATGATGTGCGAATGTTAGAGCTATTGGTTTATACATTTTTGCATCAGCTTTACTAACTTATTTGAAATGGTGCGATGTCCTCTGTTTTAAATATATATGTCAGGGATGACAGCAGTATCTAGGGTCTGTCTCCAAAATATGTTCAGGGTCTGTGTGTGTTTTTTTAATTCTTGATGAATATTGAATTCCAGGTGACTGGTCCTGGTACAGCGTGCAAGAGCATGATGTCTATGGCTACTTCACAGTCCATTGGGTTTAGGGTGACATCTGATACGTGGTTCGATGGTGGTGTCACGTTCATATAGAATTTGGTAGAATCAATGATCTGCAATGTGTTCAGGGGTTCACTGAAAACAGAATCGTACTCTAACCTTAGTATTTCACTCATTTGTTTGCTATAATATGTGAAGGTTCCATCACCTTTATCCAATGTATGATGTAGCTTTTGTTCTAGATTTTGCATAGGAGAAAAAATATTTTGTATTCCTCTCTGTTTCGCTTATGATCTTTTGCTTTCTTTACCTCTCCTGGTGAGGTATTTTATTAGTGAGGTAATGGTGAGGTAATCTCCTGGTGAGGTAATTATTTTATATGGTTCTTGCAACTTTAGCTCATTTATGTTTCTCTACGCAGCATTCTTTTCCGTTCTTGGGATAGAATGGAGCGTTTGAGATGTGTTTTCGTCGCCTGTAAAAGGGAACGTCGTTCTCGTTTCATTTTGCATCATTTCCCCTGTCTCCCTATAGTGGTATGAAGATGCGGCTTGGACGTGTTTCTGCTTCACTTGCCTCTGTTAAATTTCCCATAATACTCGACAAACGCAGAAGTTGTTAACAGATCTTGGCCGACACGGTCTTGGAAAAGAAGCACTTGCTAACAGCCTTAGCGAAGTGCTGTATACATGTATACAAACACTACACATTGAATATACCGAGTACTAGTATGAATATACTGTTACGAAGCCTCGACGCTATCGCATCATACTAACTCGTGACCTTTGACCTCTTTGCGGGCCTTTGGAGTCAAGTGCCGCCATCCTGCATACTCTAAATTATTCCGTAGATGCTATTTTGACTGTTGTGGCGGGGATCCCAGTTGGTGAGTGGCGGCGGCCACTGGCAGGTGGAGCCCAGTGAGGTGTGAGACCCACGAGGCCAGGTGAAGCCCAGTGAGGTGTGGGACCCACGAGGCCAGGTGAAGCCCAGTGAGGTGTGGGACCCACGAGGCCAGGTGAAGCCCAGTGAGGTGTGAGACCCACGAGGCCAGGTGAAGCCCAGTGAGGTGTGAGACCCACGAGGCCAGGTGAAGCCCAGTGAGGTGTGGGACCCACGAGGCCAGGTGAAGCCCAGTGTAGTTGGTGGCGGACAGTTTCAGTGGTCGGTGGAACTCCAGTAAGATCTAAAACAATTTTAACCTTTACTCTATATACATTACTAATAACAGAAAGAATAAATATATATAATAATGATGATCATTTAAAAAACCAAGAATTCCAATATATACTGACAGGCCAAGAAGTTAAAACACTAGTAATTAAACGTCAAAAAACACACAATAGCTTTCAACACAAGTGTAGACTCCTTGCATTGCTACAGTTCAAGGTACTTAAAAAAGTTTAATTCTACCTCGCAAACTACAAAGAAAATGTTAACAAATGTTCTATTTATAAAAAACAGTAATAATAATAATAAAACTAATAATACTAATACTAATAATGATTGTTTACAGTGGTGATGACGGTATTCTTGGTCCTGGCGATGGCTGTGCCTGTCTTAATGGTCATTATGGGTAAGTGCCACTTTATTGCTCCCATAATGTCCTTTTTTGGCTAGTCTGCTTGCTTCTCTTCCATGCTGCCCCTGAGTTTGTCCCTCAGCCCTCATGGTGTAGATCTTGAGTGCCGCTGGGGAGCCTCGGTCTTGGCCTTGGCCTTGTCTCTCACTCGCCACAGCTTTCTTACAACCAAGTGGAAAGTATATTGAGATATTTACTTTCATGCATGTATTGTTCTTGTGCTTATAATACATGCGCGAATATGTATACTTGTGTTTGTGTGTGAGTGTGCCTGTATACAAGGTTATTCTTACGTGTGTGCCAAGATCAAGTGTGTACAAATACAGCATGTCAACTGCAAATACTTCTCATACATTGTACATTTTCTACATTCTTCATTTCAATTGACAAATACGTATGGGACTCCTGTGGGTCCATTTTCCCCGGGATTACACGCATTTATCAGTCGCACTTCCTCTGTCGACAAACACAACGTGTCCCCACACTCCCTGCTCCTTATCCTGGACGCTATCAAAAGCAGCGTATACATAGAGGTGCTTTTGTGTTATCTACGCGTCTCAATTAGAACGAATTCTCAGGTTAATACGAATATGCTTCGATACGTTGATGGGTTTGTCTACATTCGTTCTACAGCCTCCCTGTTTCATTCACGAATATAAGCACTAATGGTTCCACTCCCTTATCTACGTTAGTAAACGCTAAACACCCAATTCCTCAGACCATATTCGTATTCGTTCTCACAATTCGTCACAGTTCAACAAGCCCGCACCGGCCCTTAGATACATAAGCACTTCGTAGCCGACCAGCCAAAGGCTCAAGGCCCGCACTATCCCTAACAAAAGAAAAAATAAACTTTTCTCGTGAACATAGATAATCCTATTATTAAACATTCTTTACTGCCTCATCACGGCAGCAGGTAAAAACACCACTAATGCCTTTGCTTCCACTGGGTAAAGCATACTAATGCCTTCTCTTCCCCCCTCAGGAGTCCAGTACTTACACGACTGTCCTCTGGAGCCCAACATTCCCATTTACCTGCTGGTGGGCGGCTGTTTCGGCACCCTGAAGCTCCTCTGGATACTATGTCAGCAGGTGAGAACCAGTGTCAGCGTGAGGGAGGGAAGGAGAGAGGGAGAGACGAAGAATGGAAGGAGGGAACTAGATATTGAGGGAAGGATGGAAGGAGAGAGGAAGGGAGGGAAGGAGAGGAGGTAGGTTGGTAAGTAGAACCAACTATCCCATGTTGTTTACAAACCGTCCCACTACAGTTGCTTGCGGATCGAATAACTCAACGTCGTTTGCCCACAGGTTCGGTCGCGTCGGTACGAGCGGATCGACGACGCCTTCGCCGAGGACAGTCTGGACGAGATCTTCACCTCAACGAGCTACCGCGCGACGGACGTGGCCCTCACCATCTTCCTGTTAGTGTGGTTCGGCATGGGCAACTACTGGGTGTACAGGATCTACCTCCCCAACTTCCAGGTGGCGCTCTTCAAGCCCAACAACTGGTGAGCCTCTCGACCGTCTTGGCCAGACGCTGTCAGTCAGCGCTCCTGTGTGTGTGTGTGTGTGTGTGTGTGTGTGTGTGTGTGTGTGTGTGTGTGTGTGTGTGTGTGTGTGTGTGTGTATGTGTGTGTGAGCGTTCCTGTATGTGGATGTGTGCGCGTGAGCTCTTCTTTACGCACACGCGTGCGTTTCTGTCATGTGGAAAGTAGTGTTGCTTTGGGCCGAACTATAATGTATGACAATTATTCACAACTCTTGCTTATCTTTGTCTCCTTTTCACTTGGCCTGGACGGTAGAGTGACGGTCTCGCTTCATACAGGTCGGCGTTCAATCCCCGACCATCCAAGTGCTTGGGCACCATTCCTTCCCACCCGTCCAATCCCAAATTCTTATCCTCATCCCTTCCAAAGTGCTATGCAGTCGTAATGACTGGGCGCTTTCCCCTGATAATTCCCTTACCCCCTCCCTTTTTCCGAATTTTTAAGAAGAAATCTTTCAACATTTGCAGAATAAATCGAGGCAAAAGGCAGGACCTTGACGTCTCTTTAGGTTATTAGCCATATCCAATCCCAGGCAAGGAAAGACTATATAAGCGTTCTGGTGTATATATAGGAAAGACTATATATAGTCTTTCCTATATAGGCTATATAGGAAAGACCCCCATGGCGTTCTGGTGTTTCCCGTGGAGTTTCGCGAGCGCTTTGGTCAGGGTTCGTATACTGGCCGGGGAGGATTTACTGGGCGCCAATCCTTAACTGTAGCCTCTGTTTACCCAACAGTAAAATGGGTACCTGGTTGTTAAACGATTTGGCGGGTCGTATTCCGGGGAATATTAGGATTAAAGACTTGCCCGAAACGCTATGCGTGATCGTGGCTGTACAAGAATGTACACACTCTTGTGTATATAAATAAATAAATAAATAAATAAATAAATAAATAAATAAATAAATAAAATGTCTCTTCTTAATACAAGCATCATGCTTCTAGTACTGTTTTCACTCCTGGGGTTTACGCAGGAAGAGATAATCGTAATACTTCAGAATTACGTTGTCGGCCTTTGAAAAGAAGTGCGCGTTTTGGGCATTATAGAACACAAGCAGATTACACCATCAGTCTGTGTCTGTGAGTCTGCGTGTATGGAGCTCAGAGGCTGTATTCCTGTGTATCGAGATCCGAGGCTGTATTCCTGTGTATCGAGAGCTCAGAGGCTGTATTCCTGTGTATCGAGAGCTCAGAGGCTGTATTCCTGTGTATCGAGAGCTCAGAGGCTGTATTCCTGTGTATCGAGATCCGAGGCTGTATTCCTGTGTATCGAGAGCTCAGACGCTGTATTCCTGTGTATCAAGAGCTCATAGGCTGTATTCCTGTGTATCGAGATCCGAGGCTGTATTCCTGTGTATCGAGAGCTCAGACGCTGTATTCCTGTGTATCGAGAGCTCATAGGCTGTATTCCTGTGTATCGAGATCCGAGGCTATAGCATCACTTATATACATGTGTTAAGAGGCTGTGGAAGGTTGTGTATTACAGATCTATATGAAGAGCACCATTGATCGACACTGTGAGCAGAAAGTTAAGTCTTAGGAGAGGCATTTTGTACCTTGAGAACGGGCTGACACAAGACCTTGTAGGGCATACGGCTGAGTGGCAGCTGTGTGCTATGATTAAATGATTGACATTTTGTTCATGGCAACTCACAAGGAGCTCTTGACCCTTAGTTGATGAAGTCGAGATACAGCAATTAATGCAGAGTAGTGTTAAGGACATATGTTATTATAAATATATAAAATATATTTTATAATAACTTAATAAAATAGCTTAATATTATATATATACTCACAGTATGTGTTACTCATCTAGCATCTCCTTGCTAATATCTGTCATCCACCATTTAAGCATTAAACCGTTTAACAGTGATGATTAGCAAGTCAGTCAATAGTAACTCTCCCGTATGCACCTGTAACATGTTATATTTCACCCAGAAACGTTCTCTCACCATCAGGTGCTCCAAGACGCTCTACCTGTTCGCCGTGGCCCAGCTCCTCTTCGTGTACTCCATCCTGGGCTTCATCTTCTTGCTCTCCTTCTGCCTCGCCTGCGGCCAGAAGTGCGTCATGCTCTTCGGCGAGAGCTACAAGTGAGCCAGGGAGGCCAGGAGGCGCGCCAAGCACGAGAGGAAAAAGGCGGGTCGTGGCGGGAAGACCACCAAGAGCGCCACCAAGACCGACGCCGCCGTGATGAACGGGAAGAAATGCATCGACCGACTCCCGGACATGAACGAAGACGACGATTTTGACTTAACGAATGATGTGAATCAACCTAGAAAAAGTAGCATAGGAGATTATATGAACCTGACCAAGCCGAGCGCAGTGTTCGTGCAGCAGCAGCAGCAGCAGCAGAGTGCTGAGATCTCTGCGCCAGAAGTTAGTCACATTGACTTGAATTACGACGAGGTGGGAAACTGTGACTCTCAGACTCGACCCAGGAAGGTGGTGCTCATTGTGTAAAAAGAAAACAAATATTAAATGTAAAAGGGCTGCCACGGCACAGTTTTCAATGCATATCACAATCTTTTTTTTTTCATTATTGTTTTTCCCCTGTAGCTTACTCACGCGGCAAGAGCGAGCCACCGCTTGTAATATTTAAGGAAACGAACCATATCTGTATCATCCATGTATCACTGTTTTATATTAACTTCATCGTGTAGATTCATCAACAGAAGTTGGTAAATGTCTTTGTATATAGATCAATGAACAATCAGGAAAACTACCTTAGTAGACTACTTAACTCTGTGTTCCCGGACGATAGCCAAAAACAGTTTACTTTTAGTCTTAATAATTATGTCTATTTCTGTAATCTCCTGTAATCTCACGTACAAACGACATTTAAAAATGTTAGCTATGTCCCTCCAGAAAGTAATCGTATATATATATATATATATATATATATATATATATATATATATATATATATATATATATATATATATATATATATATATATATATATAAGAATGAAGTGCAATAGCGCACTAATCAATATGAAAATAATAACCTAAATATTTATATACGGTATCTTTCAAGGCCAAACAAATCCTTCACATTGCTTCCAAGCGCTCAAGAGTACTAAGAGAAGAAGACCCATAATGCCATATAAATCAGAGAATAATAACTGATGAAAACTTAAGACGCGTGTTCTTAAGGCACACAGCTTCAGACAAAGGCCTTTTCTTCGTCTCTCTATATAGTAATTATTTATTATTATTATTTATATTATTATCGTCCTAATTGCGTCTTCTACTATTACATCTTCTACAACCATGTCTGCTACTGCTGTTAATACCATTGTCCCTTCTGCTACTACCAAGACAAATAACACTACTTTCTGCAGGCGATGAGTCACAATAACGTGGCTGAAGTATGTTGACCAGACCACACACTAGAAATTGAAGGGACGACGACGTTTCGACTTGAGAATGGTCCAGGACGGACCGAAACGTCGTCGTCCCTTCAATTTCTAGTGTGTGGTCTGGTCAACAACACTACTTTCACTACAACAATCGCTACTACTATTTCTACTGCTACCACTACCCCTTCTACCTCAACAAATTTCACTAATACTACTACAATCAATACTGCGACTGCTATGACAACAACTACGACTTGTTTTGCCCAATCCAGTCATCTCTGAAGCTGCGTTTTCGTCATCATCATAAAACCAGGTTGTCTTACAGTCATCCGGAACCACTGAGTCAATGTCTATTTATAACTATATCAAAACGTCTTTCCTTAGAACATTTAAACAGGCTTTCCTTGTGCATTTATTAGATTAAGGAAACACTGCTGGCAACATCTATACCTCTGTGATCTGTCCCAGACACTGCTGACAATATCCACACCTCTGTAATCTGTCCCAGACACTGCTGACAATATCTATACCTCTGTAATCTGTTCCAGATACTGTTGACAATATCCACACCTCTGTGATCTGTCCCAGACACTGTTGACAATATCCACACCTCTGTGATCTGTCCCAGACACTGCTGACAATATCCACACCTCTGTAATCTGTCCCAGATACTGCTGACAATATCTATACCTCTGTAATCTGTTCCAGATACTGTTGACAATATCCACACCTCTGTGATCTGTCCCAGACACTGTTGACAATATCCACACCTCTGTGATCTGTCCCAGACACTGCTGACAATATCCACACCTTTGTGATCTGTCCCAGATACTGCTGACAATATCCACACCTCTGTGATCTGTCCCAGATACTGCTGACAATATCCACACCTCTGTGATCTGTCCCAGATACTGCTGACAATATCTATACCTCTGTAATCTGTCCCAGATACTGCTGACAATATCTATACCTCTGTAATCTGTCCCAGATACTGTTGACAATATCTATACCTCTGTAATCTGTCCCAGATACTGCTGACAATATCTATACCTCTGTAATCTGTCCCAGATACTGATGACAATATCTATACCTCTGTAATCTGTCCCAGATACTGTTGACAATATCTATACCTCTGTAATCTGTCCCAGATACTGCTGACAATATCTATACCTCTGTAATCTGTCCCAGACACTGCTGACAATATCTATACCTCTGTAATCTGTCCCAGATACTGATGACAATATCTATACCTCTGTAATCTGTCCCAGATACTGCTGACAATATCTATACCTCTGTAATCTGTCCCAGATACTGCTGACAATATCTATACCTCTGTAATCTGTACCAGATACTGCTGACAATATCCACACCTCTGTGATCTGTCCCAGACACTGCTGACAATATCCACACCTCTGTGATCTGTCCCAATCACTGTTGACAATATCCATACCTCTGTGATCTGTCCAAGATACTGCTGACAGTATCCACACCTCTGTGATCTGTCCCAATCACTGCTGACAATATCCATACCTCTGTGATCTGTCCCAGACACTATCTATACCTCTGTGATCTGTCCCAGATACTGCTGACATTATACATACCTCTGTGATCTGTCCCAATCACTGCTGACAATATCCACAACCCTGAGGTCTACCCCAAACAAGGATGTCAGTATAAATTTGACCAATAAGAACGTGATTTCTATAGTAAATCCACCCACTCGCTGCTCAGGAAGCAGCTTTTAAATAATAAGGCAGGTGGTTTGCCCTCTGTCTACTAGGAAACCTTATACAAGAAAATGTAAGATGCTGTCCTGTGCTAACATGTAGGTGCTAATTTCTATTAGTATATAAGATGCTAGGACCTACTAGGATATAAGATGCTGGCACCTGGTAGCATCCAGTTAGCAACGACATCCTTCACTGGGATCTACTTCATTCCACTAAGGTATTAATACCAATGACAAAATAAGCAGAGATGAATGTCAAGTGTATTGATAAAGTACCTGAGGAGTACCAGGTACCATATATGTTGTATGTTGTGTGTGTGTGTGTGTGTGTGTGTGTGTGTGTGTGTGTGTGTGTGTGTGTGTGTGTGTGTGTGTGTGTATGTGTGTGTGTGTGTGTGTCTGTGTGTGTGTGTGTGTGTCTGTGTGTGTCTGTGTGTGTGTGTGTGTGTGTGTGTCTGTGTGTGCTCTTAAGCATTTGTTCATGTATGTGTGTGTACATCTCATTCCTTTCCGGAATATTTGTAAATAAAAGTCAGTGTTGAATTCTTTGTTGTATAGATTCATACGCCATATCATGTAAAGAAGTAGGATAAAAGTTGTTGAAAATATAGGATTTGGTGGTGAGCGGAAGCCGAGAAGGTAGTCTCCAGGGGCCAGATTCACGAAGCAGTTACGCAAGTACTTACGAACGTGTACATCTTTTCGCAATCTTTGACGGCTTTGGTTACATTTATTAAACAGTTTACAAGCATGAAAACTTCCCAATCATCTGTTATTATTGTTATAAACAGCCTCCTGGTGCTTCGGAGCTCATTAACTATTTAATAATTGTAAACAAAGCCGCCAAAGATTCAGAAAAGATGAACAGGTTCGTAAGTGTTTGCGTAACTTCTACGTGAATTTAGCCCCAGGACCCCCGAGCGATGGACTATGGTATAATTTGACATATCCGCCAAGATATCCCAAAACATGTGTGCTGCGGGGTTCAAAACTCACCCGAACGAATACTGAATAGTTTGGGACGTTGTAAACAAGGATTGTCTAGATATGAAGATATCGGGACATAATCTCTTGAATGCGATTCGAGATTGTTTCTACGAGGCATCGAAGAAAATTACTCGCCATTACAATGGGTTCGAATCCTGGACATAGGATCCTCTGTGTCGTGTTCAGAACCTCGTTATTGGAAAGATTCCATCAACTGCTGTGTGATTCCCATATATAATTAACCTTCCCACCACAAGCCTTAACTATGACAATATTTATCAATTCGTGCCTGTGTGTGTGTGTGTGTGTGTGTGTGTGTGTGTGTGTGTGTGTGTGTGTGTGTGTGTGTGTGTGTGTGTGTGTGTGTGTGTGCGCGCGCGCTTGCACAAGCATGTTTTATATAAACTGGCTTTGTAATGAAATGCTTTATTTTATAAATCAAAGGGTTCCCTGACAAATTTAATGTGCTTTTTATGCATTTAAAAAAACGAATGATATATTTTTTACTTGTTTAGCTACAAATATACTTACATGTTGGCAGATACATTTGTTTGCAAGCAATGTTTTTGAGTTTAATTTCTTGAAGTATTACTCTTTATATCATAATGTCCCCCTGTTCAAAACTTTCATTTGATAATAAAAATAAAAAATTATACAACATATATATATATATATATATATATATATATATATATATACATATATATACATATATATATATATATATATATATATATATATATATATATATATATATATATATATATATATATATATATATATATATATATATATATATATATATATATATATATATATATATATATATATATATATATATATATATATATATATATATATATATATATATATATATATATATATATATATATATATATATATATATATATATATATATATATATATATGCAGAATAATCACAAAAACTCGTGATTCAGTTATGCATAAGAATTCACAAGGAAAATAAAACGACAATTATAAATACATTATACAGGATAATGTATTTACTTGATAATGTGGTGAAACGCGAAAACGTTCGGAACTTTCGTTTCATTTTCCTTGTGGACACTAACGCATAAACATATGTCGTACCTAACAGCCAGAACGCACTACTTGGCTTAGTATGCAAGGCCTGATTTGCTTAATAGGCAGTGATTCTCGTTATTTAAAAAAAAATCAAACTGATTTATATGAATTAATATTATTATATTAGGAACATTAATTACTGACTTATGTTAGTTTACGTTAGGTTAGTATAGGATAGGTTAAGTTTGGGATATTAGCTTAGTATAGGATAGGTTAGGTTTGGTCATATTTCTACTTTAGTTTTAACTCAAATTAGAAACAAATACAATTATATATAATATTATGGAAAGCTTTATCATTTCACAAGAATATATTTTTACAAAAATATATAAATTTAGGAAAACTTGGCTAATTAGGCAAATGGGGCCTTGCATAGTAGATACAGTAGTGCGTTCTGGCTATTAGGTACAACAGATATATATATATATATATATATATATATATATATATATATATATATATATATATATATATATATATATATATATATATATATATATATAAACATTCTCTCCATAAAACATGCATATAATTACCCTTTGTTGACCCTTTTCTTCTTTGTTATGGATATCATAGTCGCTAACATCTAACGATATGGATGTTGCGATACCAGATGACTATAAAATTGTGATGCCTGATCAATGAAAATAATTCATGATAACTGAGAAAAAAGAAAAAATTATATTATATATATATATATATATATATATATATATATATATATATATATATATATATATATATATATATATATATATATATATATATATATTGTAAGGCAGAAGATGCTAGACTTATAACACAAAAGATACAAGAAACACAAGGAAACTGTCAAATATTTTTAATTAGTGTTCAGTGCTCGCCGTGCTTATGGGCTGTTGAGCAGCAATCACTTGTTAGGTACAGTTTCGCTTTTACATGAGTCTAAGATGCTTTAAACTCGCTTGGGTGATCCAATCGTAGATCCAAACTGATGTTTATTCCATCAGCTTGGCATAAACATTTAGTTCCTGGAAGTCATACTGTATCTACATTGGGAATTATCAATCGTGCTCCAGTCCAGAAGGTTTAATATAAAGAAACAATGTCCAGCTTAAACATGAAGTGTTCTTTGAAGTTGAAATAAGCCACGTTACTCTGAATTAAATTCTGTTATTTGCTAGGCAAGGAAGGAAGTCATTTTACATATCATGCAACACAATAGCAACAGAAACAGGCCAGGTCAGACACGCACTCATTGTGCACTAACGGCAATGTGTGCATGTCTAAGCAATGGATTAAATTCCTAGAACTACCTGCTTCCTTAATTCCCCACAAAAATAATAATTACCATTAATGGGGGTGGTCAAAGGATGTATATCTATCTAGTATCTATCCTAGTACAGTATATATCTATATATCTATCCTAGTACAGTATATATCTATATATCTATCCTAGTACAGTACAACAGAGAGGAATAATTTAAATGCACTTATACATATATTAATTAATACTGGCCAGCAATGATTAATATAACAAAATATATATTTTCTAAACTAAATTACAAGTTAAGATGCTGCTTATACTTGCACATGTGCTTGTACCAAACTACAAGTAATGATAAATTTTCTCTTGCGTGTGAGTCAAGCATCAGTTTGTGTCACGCATAATTGGCCGGCATTCACACACACACTATCAGGCATACTTATATACACACAATGATTGTTAATGCTCGTCCAGTTATTAATGAATGTACACGTATAATTAAAGTTATGAAAGCCCTGATATCGCAAAACAAAGAAATAATTGGCACTGGAATAATTATCCAAATCATAGTTCTTCTTCCACAGTGAGAGTAACCACAGCTTTTGTTGCAAAAACGATTTTTGGCCCATTAACCAATTTTGATAATGAGACGCGTAATTGACTAGCTGGTGACACACAGTCAGAGCTGCCTCTCTCTGGTGACGGTGAGAGCTGCCTCTCTCTGGTGACGGTGAGAGCTGCCTCTCTCTGGTGACGGTGAGAGCTGCCTCTCTCTGGTGACGGTGAGAGCTGCCTCTCTCTGGTGACGGTCAGAGCTGCCTCTCTCTGGTGACGGTCAGAGCTGCCTCTCTCTGGTGACGGTCAGAGCTGCCTCTCTCTGGTGACGGTCAGAGCTGCCTCTCTCTGGTGACGGTCAGAGCTGCCTCTCTCTGGTGACGGTCAGAGCTGCCTCTCTCTGGTGACGGTCAGAGCTGCCTCTCTCTGGTGACGGTCAGAGCTGCCTCTGCGTTTCACCAAGTCCTTGCACGTCGAAAATGCTCAAAACAGTTTTCTTACTTCAATCTGGTCTTCCGTGCATCTTTAGTCATTATCGGAGCCTTGAACCGCTGACCACATACCACAGCCCGCAGCTCCACCTACTGCGCCACCTTACCATGAAGGTGTTAGGCGTTCCAGATACAAGTCACATAAATTGATAACTACAATATAGTGGATCTTCACGATATGGTGGCTAGCAATTTATACATATACATATATTATATATGCGAACAAGCCTGAATGGTCCCCAGGCATACATGCAACCGAAAACTCACACCCCCAGTGTGAGGTGTGAGTGTCACCCTTGTGTGATTCTGGGGTGTGAGTTTTCAGTTGCATGTATGCCTGGGGACCATTCAGGCTTGTTCGCATTTGTGTTCCTCACGTGTGCCCCAAAGAATGAGGTGGTTTGATAAAATACTATGCCCAAGATTGCCATCAGAGTGCCGGCGGGCTGATGGGAAAATAGCCTCGGCTACCATCAGCTTATGTCTGGTCGTGATGGTCGAGTGGATAAGGTGCCCTGTACACCGGTTGCATAGTGCTCCTGGCAGTATGGGTTCGAGTCACTTGTGGGGTGTGAGTTTTCAGTTATATATTATATATATGTGGAAAATCCACAGAGAAATGGGAAAGGGAGATGAACGTTTCGGCCAATTAAAGCCGCTGTCAACACCGGACTGACTTAGAGAAACAGATGGAGGGTGGAGGCCAACAACTGGGACCTGGCCACCCATCCCCAGGGAAAGATTTACCCAGAAATAGGTATAGCTTAGCTTAGAACAGTCAGAAGGAACAAGCGGTAAGAGAATAAGTATGAAAGATTAAACAAAAAGCCTCATTGAACAAACACATATGTGATTATAATATTGTATTGAGACATTGTAACCTTACCTATCAGAGTATTTTCTTAAACTGTTGTGCAATATTGTAACTTAAGAATAGGTCAAGTTTGTACATACCAGTACTATCATTGAGAAGATTTGGACACTCATTAGGGCAGACTCAATCAAATTCCGGTCCACGAAACCGCTGCAATTTGTAATTCGCTTCGCTCCTCCCCAATTAATAATGTGATCACCTAAACTTGTGTGTAGATACAATGCACTAGACGTTTTGGCAGTTCTAATACTATGAGCATGTTGGGACAAACGCAATTGTAAGGATTTGCCAGTTTGTCCGAGGTACACAGACTCACAATCATTGCAGGGAATCGAATACACACAACCTGCTGAACCAGGGGGAATTTTTATATTAAATTGGACTTGATCATACTATCATTGAACACCAAATTGATATAAAGGTTCTTAAAAACCAGAGGAAAGTTGTTCAAGTCCTATCGCATAAGGTACCACCAATGACTTTCGAATTTCTGTATAGTATATATATATGTGTGTGTTTGTGTCTGTGTGTGTGTGTGTCTGTCTGCGCGCGCGTATATGCGTATGTATATATGTGAGGATGAAGAGAATGTGTGGGGCAGACGAATACAGAGAGAGAATGCAGTTAGTGGAGTTAAAATAAATCGTCAGGAGACACAGAAGACTGAATGTGAAGTGTCGACACTCTACGTCGAGCGTGGTACTGAAGGTGACGGTCTCAACACTGGGGAAAGACCCTCCCAGCGCCAGCAGTTGTGTGGTAGCACCGCCAGCGGGAGCACCGGTGATATAACGTTCTGAACAGTGACGTCCATATATATATACATGTCTGTGTTTCCGGTTATTGCGTCTTGGACCCACACGCAAGCTGATAGTGTGTCGTCTAAGACACCTTAGCTTGGCAGTGAGGATGAGAGCGCCAGCGAGGGTCCTGGTGCCACGAGTGGCTGTGGGAACTGTTGTGTTGTGTTTCATCTACACTTCCGGCCCCCGCGGTAAGTTGACAGTCTTTACCCTGCACACACCTGACTAGGAAGTGCGCCCCTACCCCCCCCCCCCCCCAACAGTTAGTTAATAACTCTCTTAAGTATATCTGATGGAACTAGCCCTCCTTCCCCCCCCCCCTCCCATCCTACGCTTGTTGTGTCCGTTAGCAGGTAAAGATAACATGCCAAGATTACACATCTGTGGATACCAAACCTGCACACCTGTAGATACCAAACCTGTACACCTGTTAATATCTGAGGCCCATACAGATTCATACTTTTCTCCATCACTTATTAATGCCTAGATCCCCACATGTGTTGATCTCTGGACCCCAAAATTGTTGATCTCTGGACTATTAATCTATAAATACCAGGTACCCCCCCCCCCCCAAAGTTATTTCACACGCCTGCCTATGTGTGATCCAAAACGTAATTCTCACTTTTGCCGATACCTAATTCTCTCACTTGGCTAGATATCACATCTGTTGATACCTCCCCACCAGCCTCCCTCAAGCCTGCTAACGGCTGGTCCCCCACACCTGTTGATACTTGGATGTAATCTCGACTAAAACCTGATATAAATTCCTGCTGATAATTGAGGTTTAAGTCTCAAAGTATTTACCCCTATAACGGATTCCTGAGACCCAACTTGAGCATCAGATCATGAGATACGAGACGAACATCATAACGGTCCATACTGCAGGGGAGACAAGCCAGCGCCCTACGACACCCCAGTTTCCCAGTAGCAAGAGTGAGGACGAGGAGGAGTGGTTGGCCGAAGATATAAGCAACGGTTCGTCCGTCTGTCCCACACCTAAGGTTCCACCCCATGACTTCCTCAAGCTCAGAAACATCTTCAGGTAAGGGGTTAAGAGGTTTATATTTAGAGAGAGACAGATGATGCTCTCTCTCAGATTACCGTTACCTTGCTGCCTTGAGAACACCCCCATCAATGAGTAAGGGTGTGGCAGGTGTACTGTAAGGGAGAGCAAGATGAGCGTGGCGTCTCACGACTCCCTAGCCTCCCTTAGTCTACACTTAACTGTACTCAACCATGAATGACCATTTCCTTCCCCATGTTATTGTTAAATTGATTACATCTGTTGGCATGTGCATTTTGCCGCCTCTGTTTATACTGTTTATATTTATTTGCCATCATCAATCTGAAGAAATGTGTGGGTGTGTGTGTGTACTCATCTATTTGTGCCTGCGGGGATCGAGCTCTGGCTCTTTGGTCCCGCTTCTCAACTGTCAATCAACTGGTGTACAGGTTCCTGAGCCTACTGGGCTCTATCATATCTACACTTGAAACTGTGTTAGGAAGTGATGTGGTGGAGTCAGCCTCCACCACATCACTTCCTAATGCATTCCATCTGTCAACCACTCTGACACTAAAAAAGTTCTTTCTAATATCTTTGTGGCTCATTTGGGCACTCAGTTTTGACCTGTGTCCCCTAGTGCGTGTGCCCCTTATGTTAAATAGCCTGTCTTTATCTACTCTATAAATTCCTTTGAGAATCTTGAATGTGGTGATCATGTCCCCCCTAACTCTTCTCTCTTCCAGCGACGTGAGGTTTATAATTCCCGTAGTCTCTCCTCATAGCTCATACCTCTCAGCCCGGGTACTAGTCTGGTGGCAAACCTTTGAACCTTTTCCAGTTTAGTTTTATTCTTGACTAGATATGGACTCCATGCTGGGGCTGCATATTCCAGGATTGGCCTGACATATGTGGTATACAAAGTTCTGAATGATTCCTTACACAAGTTTCTAAATGCCGTTCTTATGTTGGCCAACCTGGCATATGCCGCTGATGTTATCCTCTTGATATGAGCTGCAGGGGACAGGTCTGGCGTGATATCAACCCCCAAGTCTTTTTCTCTCACTGACTCTTGAGGAATTTCATCTTCCAAATGATACCTTGTATCTGGCCTCCTGCTCTCTACACCTATCTTCATTATATTACATTTGCTTGGGTTAAACTCTAACAACCATTTGTTCGACCAAATGATGTGTGTGTTTGTGAACTTATGTGTGTGTGTGTATTCACCTAGTTGTGCTTGCGGGGGTTGAGTTCTGGCTCTTTGGTCCCACCTCTCAACCGTCAATGAACAGGTGTACAGATTCCCACTGTGTGCATGTGTGCGAGTGTGTGTGTGTGTGTGTGTGTGTGTGTGTGTGTGTATAGACTCGTCACATTACCAGTGATGGTTTAACATTTATAACGTCATCACTTAATGCCATGTCCATGACACCACATATAAACTTAGTTAATACCCTCATTCTAACTGATGTATCACCTTGCGACCCCTGTAGCCTGAAGGAGGCCCAGCAGGAGGAAGGGACCAACATCCTGCTCCTGGAGAGTTCCTGCGCAGTTAAGCCCACCGTCCGCGCCTGGTGCGCCTTGGAGAGGTAGGTCTAAAAATTACGCTCCATCCTATTTGTCTCGATCCAGTAAAGCATACAGGATAGTCAGCGCAAACTCATCATTCTGTTGAACAATAAAATTGTCAATAAGAAAGTTAGAGAACTGTTTCACTACACACACATACACACCGTGTGTGGGGCCGGTGGCTGAGCGGACAGCACGCTCAACGCGTGATCCTTTGGTCCCGGGTTCGATTCCGGGCGCCGACGAGAAACAATGGGCAGAGTTTCTTTCGGCCTAATGCGCCTGTTACCTAGCAGTTAATAGATACCTGGGAGTTAGTCAGCTGTCATGGGCTGTTTCCTGGGGGGTGTGTGTGTGGTGTGGAAAAAAATAGTAGTTAGGAACAGTTGATTGACAGTTGAGAAGCAGGCCGAAAGAGCAGAGCTCAACCCCCGCAAGCACAACTAGGTGAATACACACACACACACACACACACACACACACACACATACACACACACACACACACACACACACACACACACACACACACACACACACACACACACACAGGAATGCACTTGGGGAACAGGTTGTGGAAGCAAACTCTATTCATACTTTTAAAATTAGGTATGATAGGGAAATGGGACAGGAGTCATTGCTGTAAATAACCGATGGCTGGAAAGGCGGGATCCAAGATTCAATGCTCGATCCTGCAAGTACAAATAGGTGAGTACACCCTGCAGTGGTCCAAACCAAAATTCCCGATGCAATATTTCCAGAAAACTAAATAACACAAATTAAACAAATGCACGGAGGGACGAAGCAGTGCACAACACACATAATAAAACTCCCCCCTGGATACATACACTACATCTCCGGGGAAACTGAACGTAGATGAAAACAAAACCTAGACCGTAAGAGTTATTGCCTTATAGGCACCTGGCAGCCAGAAAGGTGGGGTCCAGTAGTTGAAGCTTGATCCAGCGTACACAACTAGGCGAGTACGCCTCCACCCTATCACGGCCGGTGGCTCCTGAGAGCAGGAACACGCCAGGTGTCGTGGTTATCCCGTTAGGTATAAACACTACCGCTGCGCCACCATTGTGTGAGTTCACCTTCCACGCTGTGTATAGCGTGACGGTGCGGTGTGACGTAGTGGAGCGTGACTGTAGTGTGACGTGGAGGAGCTTTACAGTGCAGTGATGAGGTGGAGACGTGATAGTTACTGAATATTTACCGTGTGAGAACGTCCCGTTGAGCACTGAACGTTTTTTGTGAACGCTGTCACACCAGTTAGCACTCTCCCCGTTACATACATCAGTGTATATATAAGTGGAGTGTGTGTGAATATACCCACTGTTTACAGTGCCATGTGACCTATCACACTTACACCAGATAGCAAAGCTTTTCAGCGTACCTCTCTTCTCCAACTGCTTCTCTAACCCCAGCTGCTTCTCTAACCCCAGCTGCTTCTCTAACCTCAGCTGCTTCTCTCCCTCCCAACCTGCCAAGCTTGGCTCAACAGAACCCCGAGGCTCGGGTGTGGTATGTGATGACGGCGCCGCTGCTCGAGGTGAAGGACGGCCTGGCTCGCCGTCTCCTCCACCAGTACACCAACCTGCAGGTTGTCACGGCCGACCTGCAGGAGGTCTTCTCCCACACCCCACTCATGCGCCTCTACACCTCCGGATCCTGGAACGCCAACACCCGTAAGTTCTCCTCTACGCTCCATTCCTTCCCTCCATCCCATCCCAATTCCTTATCCTGACTTCTTCCTAGTGCTATATAGTCGTAATGGCTTGGCGCTTTTCTTTGATAATTCCTTCCTTCCACATACGTCCCTCTACACCCGGAAAGCTTGCAACGCCAGAGTTCAGCCCTGTCAGCCACAACCAGCTAAGCAAAAACAGGTTCCAGGAGCTGGAGTTCAATCCATACAAGTAAACATCTGTTTAAAAACATGTCAACACCAAGGAATATTTCTCGTTTTACGGCACCTCAAGAGCCATCCACCTGTGGCACCGATAGATACAAGGGCCAGCCACCTGTAGTTATGATAGATAAGGGCCATCCACCTGTAGTTGCGATAGGTAAGGGCTATCCACCTGTAGTTATGATAGATAAGGGCCATCCACCTGTAGTTACGATAGGTAAGGGCCATCCACCTGTAGTTACGATACATAAGGGCCATCCACCTGTAGTTACGATAGGTAAGGGCCATCCACCTGTAGTTACGATAGATAAGGGCCATCTACCTGTACTTACGATAGATAAGGGCCATCCACCTGTAGCCACGATAGATAAGGGCCATCACACACCAAGAACAGTCCCCTAGCGTTACTCAGACGACGCAGTGGGACGTAATGAATACAAGAGTCCCCATGAGAGGATAAAACACCCAACTATGGAATTAATTTAAAGTTTTTTTATGTAATTAAAAAATTAATTTAACCCACTGTTAACATGAGAATCTGGGCGATATTGACGAATTGTTTTAGCTAGGATATATATATATATATATATATATATATATATATATATATATATATATATATATATATATATATATATATATATATATATATATATATATATATATATATATATATATATATATATATATATATATATATATATATATATATATATATATATATATATATATATATATATATATATATATATATATATATATATAAATTGGGTAATGTTCGTATATACGTGAGAGCTGGGTCGTGTTGAAGCATTTATTATAGATGAGTTGTTTCATTATTTACAAGAAATGGGTAGTTTATAATTGTTACTGATATCAGCGAAATCTTCCCACTGATCAGTGGTTCAAAGTATACCTTCCCCACTGATCAATGGTTCAAAGTATACCTTCCCCACTGATCAATGGTTCAAAGTATACCTTCCCCACTGATCAATGGTTCAAAATATACCTTCCCCACTGATCAATGGTTCAAAATATACCTTCCCCACTGATCAGTTATTTATTACGGTAATCCACAATATGTATACAAACGGAATTAATCACTGTAAAGCTGAATCGTTGTATTCACGACCCCCGTTCATGCCACTGTCTTCGCGTCCCACCAAGCCAGAGTGGCCGGAGGTGAACCTGGCCGACCTCATGCGTCTGGGACTGGTGTGGCACCTGGGCGGGTTCTACGTGGACACCGATGTGGTGTGCATCAGGCCCCTGACCGGCCTCGCTAACGCCATCGGCTGGCAGGAGATGTCGACGCTGGGCTCTGGGGTCTTCCACTTCAGCCGTCACCACCCCGTGCTGCAGAGAGTCATGGCCCGTGCGGCGAGAACCTTTAAGGTATGACTCCTCAATATTACATACACCTACTTGTACTGGTCGGTAGAGTAGCGTCTTGATAGTGATCCCGAAGGGACCGTTACACGACTTAATAATGGTCCAGGAGAGACTGAAACGTCCTCATGTCGTTTCCAAGTGCTATATGTATAGTCACTGCCTTAGCCCTTTCTCCTCATGACTGCCTCACCTGGGCAATGCTACGAATTTATTCACTATATGTCTCATATTTCCTGTTACTTTTATTTAAAAGCTAGATATTCAAAGTATTTTGAGCGGAAAGAATATCATGGATGGTTCGGCTCAGTTCTGTTTCGTCTGTGTTTCATTTAAGTGTTTTAAAATCGACAGACCAACAAGTGGGGCAGCAGTGGGCCCCACGCCTTCACCTGGGTGATGAAGGAGCTGTGTGGTGGCGAGGTGCTGATGGGGGGCAAGGCGGGCAGCTGCCAGGGCATCCGGCTGCTGCCCATCAGGGCCTTCTACCCTGTCCCCGCCCCTGTTTGGAGAACTCTCTTCACTTTCCAGACGCCGCGTGAGGTCACTGAGGTGAGACGCAGCAGACTCTTTCCTTCTGGGAACAGATACCCAACCACTTGGGCTGGACGGTAGAGCAACGGTCTCGCTGCATGCAGGTCGGTGTTCAATCCCCGGCCGTCCAAGTAGTTGGGCACCGTTCCTTCTCCCCTCCCTGTCCCATCCCAAATCCTTATCCTGACCCCTTCCCAATGCTATATAGTCGTAATGGCTTGGCGCTTTCCCCTGATAGTTCCCTTCTGGGAACAGATCTACCCGACTGTTGTTGATGGAACCACAACCTGAGACCTCATTTAATGAGCTCTAGACACAGGAATATTTAATGATCGGAACAATCCATTAACTGCATGGGTGACACTGCGGATATTAACGCAACAACTTTGGCTTGGTCAGCCTCGGGGAAGATAGTCTTCGGAACCGACTCAAGATATGGATAATTTATTAACGAGTAACCTTATTATAGTGGGTTTCTTGAGGTTATCTTGAGATGATTTCGGGGCTTTTTAGTGTCCCCGCGGCCCGGTCCTCGACCAGGACTCCACCCCCAGGAAGCAGCCCGTGACAGCTGACTAACACCCAGGTACCTATTTTACTGCTAGGTAACAGGGGCATAGGGTGGGTACTCAGATGTATATCTCAGGCCTTCAGTGACTACATCTTGCCTATTTGTTAAGTTTTGATGGGGTCGGCGAATCGTTTCATGAGAACGTTAGACAAGAATATGGATGAGTATAAATAGCAGCTGCTTTGTATGGCCCCCATAGGCCTCTGCGGTTGCTTTTATACATATTTTCTAAGATACTTCCCGAGTGAGACATTAACACGTGTTTATATCTGTTGACAGAGGTACCTGCACTCCTACATGATCCACACCTGGAACCAACTGAGTCATAGCCAGCCAGTCGTCAAGGGTTCGGGAAGTATTTACGACCAGGCAGCCAAAGTCTTCTGTCCCGTCACCCGCGCCCACGCCACCACACACGACCCTCTCTACTGATTCCCAGGCCATCACCCACCACCGTCTACTACTACTACTACTACTACCACTACGACGTAAGACTACTACGTCTACTACTACTACGTCTACTACTACCTACGCTACCGCCGTCTACTGACACGCCTGTCATCTGGGAACGTACATGCTGTTGCCTGCGGAAAACCGGAAGACAATCGTCTCTGGAAGCTGCTCTATTTCACGGGGTTAATGGGGATTGTTAGTTTAAGATTGATAGCCCCCTTACCCCTTAGTCTCAAGGATAAGGGGGCCCATGGGGATGCCGAGAACCCAATATATTTATAAATATATTTGCTAACACGTCTGGCAGCGTGAGAGTTCCAGGACCAACACTGTAGGCAATCGCGGGTGTAGTACACTTTATGAAGGGCAGACGTCAATCTGTGTACTTATGTATGTAGGTTAAATTAGCATTTTAAAACCACTACAATCACCTTCTGCGGTTGTTTAATAAATCACTGAACACTGATGTTTAACAGATCTCTCACCCTGTCCATGGAGGGCAGAAGAAAATGTATATATGCTGGTTAGCATTGTAAATGTGTGGCCACGTCTGTGGTAGAAAATCATAATTAAAAAAATTTACTTTCAGAGCCAGTGTGGTCATTCCTGGCCTCGCTGATGCGAACTCTTGGTTTAAATTGATTCTCAGCTTAGGGGGGGGGGGCATTAATGTTTTGTTTCATATACTGTATATAATTATATATGATTAATGATGCGTATCTACTGACAGAGTCTTCACCCTCTAACCCCACTATATCAACTGTTATATTATTCGGCATTGTACAAAACTTACTAGTCATAAAAATTTGTTGTTTACAAAATGAAAACACGAACATTTTGTGTGTGAATATATATATATATATATATATATATATATATATATATATATATATATATATATATATATATATATATATATATATATATATATATATATATATTCAGAAACAAGCGTTATATTTACTTATCCAGTGTAAGGTGACGAAGCATATTGAGTCATGTAATCATGTCATTACTAAGCGAAGCCCGTTCCGAGAGTGTGGTAGTCTCGCACGTAGTAAACCCCAGACATGTATTCTCGCACGTAGTAAACCCCAGACATGTATCCTCGCACGTAGTAAACCCCAGACATGTATCCTCGCACGTAGTAAACCCCAGACATGTATCCTCGCACGTAGTAAACCCCAGACATGTATCCTCGCACGTAGTAAACCCCAGACATGTATCCTCGCACGTAGTAAACCCCAGACATGTATCCTCGCACGTAGTAAACCCCAGAGAGGTAGCCCCAAACGTTGTAAAACTTTTTTCAGCTTTACGCGTAGAACACACCCCAGAGAGAGGTAGCCTGGCACGTAGAACACACCCCAGAGAGAGGTAGCCTGGCACGTAGAACACACCCCAGAGAGAGGTAGCCTGGCACGTAGAACACACCCCAGAGAGAGGTAGCCTGGCACGTAGAACACCCCGGAGAAAATCTAGTGTTTATGACAGGAAATACCAGACTGCCACAGGGAAACAGAAGCTATATATAGTTCCTGATTGATTTCCTCTGGCGCTAGGAATCGACACTTCCTAATCACGTTTAACCACGATATAAGTTAAAGAAATGCCCATTTGAGAAAAGGTGAGCGTGTCCTTACACCGCCAATTTGCACTGTAAGACCTTTGGTGGGGTGTTCTTCACTTGCTGTTAAAGGTCAGGTCCCCCTTCTCGGAAACTCCTAAAGTGGCAGAGCTTTTCGGGAGACGAATGTAAGGCTCTCGACTCTCTCTTGAGTTCTTCCAGTACTTCGAGACGAGATTTCCAGCCAATATGCGTAGTGCTTGTTGATGACAAAGGTACAGGTGAACTGTTCACTCGCAACTAATGTTCATGCAGGTATTATGCGATTCAGTGCTCACTGTTAAAACAGTTTACAGGTGTTGTGTGAAGTGTTCACTGTTAACTCAGTTATAGATGTCGTGTAAAGTGTCCACTTATACCTTGGTCACAAGTGTCATATAAAGTGTCCACTGATAGCCATATTTTCTTCATTATTTATATTTATATTATACCGTATACCATCATGAACATTATATACATCATACTGTGGACGTAGAGTCATTATCCCAGTTGAATGTGGTCAGTGTTAACAAAGACGCTATACACGATATACAAGACGATATATCTCACATATATCAGTCATTATCTTGTCAAAGTTGACCATTGTAAATTAAACGTTTTCTATAGTTCAGCAATGCCTCTTATTTGTTATTTTATTTTTGTAAATAAATATTTACATAAAATGGCTACTGAGTTATCAACGATCCTTCTCCTTGATTTGCCTCGACACTCGATTTCTATGGTAATCCTGTAAGTAGGTAACTGTTACGGCCCTCTCGGGTCGCAACCGGGTTCTTACTCTGATGTTGTTAGAGGAAGGGTATCCGGCCCCAAGCCAGTAGTGGCTTTCAAGGGGTGCGATCCGTAACGCAAGTAAAATAAAAGGGGAAGGGAAATAAAGTCAAGAACTTAATAATATAATTACCGTCACCAATAAATATATATAAGAAGATTACATGGGGGGGGTATAAACACTATTATATACACTGTTGTCTTCTTCTGAAGACTCTGAATGTTCACGGTGCTCAGCGGTGCCAAGCTCTTGGTCCTCTCGTGGCCTTACGACGAATCCTTCGAGAATCTTGAGTCTACCCCGGCCACAGGCCAGCCAAAGCACAGTTCCACTGGGGGCACCGTCGTGGAGGCCATCAACCACAAGTCCAGCCGGTAGCTGGCAGGTTCAAATCAGCGACGCTGGCTAGGCCACTCCACGATCGATACTAGGGTAGCGATCCCTAGTCAGGAGCCTCGTGTGATTGCACAGACCACTCTCCTTGCCACAATACCCCAGTGGTTAAGCGTCTCCACCAGTCAGTCCCGGGTATGACAATCCTTCAACTGCCACTTCACAGGCAGGGTAACACCACAGTGTTCATCCGGGGGGCGACTCACAGCTGCTGCAGCAAACACTTGGTGACGAGATGGCTGCCTTGGGTAGACTGACTCAACTTCCATTACAGCAGTCCCAGGTCGACTCTGTAATCAGACACGTCATCAGTAACAGGGACACTCTAAAGCACCTCACTTACAGGCTTAGACACAAACGCCCAACGTATCCATTCCATAGATGGCGTTGCTGTCTAAGCTCCACCTCACCAGAGGTCAGCAGTGGCTGTGTTATGAGCTGATTAGGACTGGAAACTAGCCCTGGTGGCCAGTACACCGCGTCCTCACCAGGTGTCGTCGTCCATTTGGAGGGGGTTTCGGGAGCTGACCCACAGATGGCGTGGTCGTCACTGCTCCAGGCTCGGACGCTGGATTCGGGTCCGTAACAGTAACTGTAGTAGGTTAACAACAGCTGTAGTAGGTAACCCCACTTCAGCTATTGACCGACACTACACAAAAGGTGTTGACCTATATTACACAGGTGCTGACCTACACTACACAGGGAGTTTCGGCCAACGCAACAGGGGACATACTGACATACACAACGCAGAAGGCCCCTACCTATACATTTAGTACCTAGACACCAGAGAAGGTACTGAACTTCATTTCATATAAGCACTGACCTACATAAGTGAAGAAATGTTGACCTACTCTTCAAAGGAGGTATTGACCTTAATAAGAGGGAGAGTATTGACCCACATGTAAGAGGAAGTCTTGATCTTCACAAGAGAGGAAGTGTTTATCGACATTACAAAAGAGATAGTGACCTACACAAGGGAAGAGGTGTTAAAATACACTACAGAGGTGTTCATGTACATTACAGATACATCACCCTGCACAACAGAGTCGACGACCTACACTCCAGAGGTGTTGACCTACAACATTACACAGGTACACAGGTAATGAAACAGGTGTTGACTGAGACCACGAAACCACCTCAAGGTAACGAAACAGGATTATTAGTGCTACAGAAACTCAGAAATCGCTCGGTTCCTTTTGAGTAGCAGCGAGGATCCTCCCGGTTGTATCACGGGTATCAATATATCTAGCACGGAAGCTGTGTAGTCCTGATCATGCAAACTGTCTTGGTTGGTACTAGCTTTCAGCTGATACTCAGTAGAAAGTGGGATTGAAAAGCAAAGGTCTATATCAGAGCGTGAGGTCAAAGGGCCGAGAGCTAGGTACGCTTGTGGTGGAGATCACGACCTGACATACACGCTATTGACCTGATCACGACCTGACATACACGCTATTGACCTGATCACGACCTGACATAGAGGCTATTATTTTAGCCTCTTCTTCTACCAATACATATCTACATTTGTGTTACATAGACAGGGATAGAGAGCGGCTATGGTACATAGGGAGTTATTGAGCACTCAACCACAGATACTTGAAATGCTTCTACAATGCTCACCAGCATACATATGTTCATCTGTCTTACATAGAGTTCTCTATGTAAGACAGATCTATTCTCCATCGTATAGTGCAATGGGCTATTGAACATTTGACCACAGGTGATTGAGGTACATGTACAAACGTAAACTAACAATTCTAACTAGGAACTCATGTTCGTCTCTCCTACTGTGACAAGTCAAGAGAGGAGCTACAGCACTGTTTACGGGAATGTGCCGGAGGTGGAGGATTGGGAAGGGGAGGCTGTGCATGCATGAGCAAGCACCATACAGATGATAAGCTTCGCCGCATGTGCCGTGCTGCATCACTGGTGTTGGGTTCAGTCGTAGGTATTGAAACTTTTTCACGAGTGTTCAGTTGCATCACAGGGGTGGTCATCATGTATTAGGGGCCCCTTTCACAGCTAGTGAGCTCTTTCAAAGGTGCTGAGATTCTTTACAGGTATGATATCAACACCATTAAAGGTGTTGATATCATACACAGGTTGGTCCCTTGTGTGTGTGTGTGTGTGTGTGTGTGTACTCCCCCTATTTGTACTCACCTAATTGTTCTTGCGGTGGTTGAGTTTTGGCTCTTTGGTCCCGCCTCTCAACTGTCAATCAACTGGTGTACAAGTTCCTGAGCCTACTGGGCTCTATCATATCTACACATGAAGCTGTGTATGGCGTCAGCCTCCACCACATCACTTCCTAATGCATTCCATTTGTGTGCGTGTGTGTGTGTGCGTGTGTCTTAAGGAGACCACAGGTATCATGAAGTTCCTTCCACTAACCAAGTACAGCAACTCGCCGTCTCCAGTCTGAACGATGACAGAGCTATGTCTTGAATAGATAACTCAGCCTCAGCACTAGGTGGACCACGCCGTCTCTTGACGATACATCAAGCAGATATGACAATACATTACATGCATCCATAGCCTATATGAAACTGTATAAACATATTATCAATATAATCATTAATACTCTATGATTGATGTTCACACACCGGCCATATATACTCTGTTATACGGACACACACACACACACACACACACACACACACACACACACACACACGGCTGTAGGCCGCGTGCGGTTAGCATTCTCAGAACAGTACTGAAGGCCACATTACGAAACTTGGAGACTGTGCATGTTAAGGGTGGAGCCCGTGGCGCCTGCTACAGGTTCCTTCTCCAGACACCCAGCACGTGTTGATGACCACGGAGGTGCCTGGGTGCTCATCCCAGCACGTGTTGATGATCACGGAGGTGCCTGGGTGCTCATCCCAGCAGGTGTTGATGCCAGGGTGTTGGTCCCAGCACCCTGGCTGGGACTAGGGGAGTACTACATTATTTGGGAACAGAAAAAAGCCAACCATAGCCATTCCAGTACGATTTCACTTATATTATTCCACGTACCACTGAATCCACAAGCGTGGCAACCTATTGACCTGCATTCGAAGAGTGCAATACACCTTACGTCTGTCTGCAGCATATGCAAAATCCTTGGGGCATGTAAGGATTCACTATTCAGTTGATTCTCCAATTAATATAGAGAAAGCCGTAGTCTGTTACAAACCCAGACTTGCATACCTGATCCTTTGTCCAAGCTCCAAACTCTACTGATCTAATCTGAGCTGGGTATCAGGAAACCCTGACCCAATCTCCTGATTGAGCATCTTCTTGATGCTCTTCTCACCTGAGCATCAGGAAGCGCTGACCCAATCTGAACTAGGTATCGGGAAGTGCTGACCGATTATCCCCTGGGTACGAGGAAGTATCTCGTACTTTTATTATATTATATATGTATATATATATATATATATATATATATATATATATATATATATATATATATATATATATATATGCGAACAAGCATGAATGGTCCCCAGGACTATATGCGACTGAATATAGGTGAACTCACTTCTGGGGTGTGAGTTTTCAGTCATATATATATATATATATATATATATATATATATATATATATATATATATATATATATATATATATATATATATATATATATATATTCAGGCTTCCTGACCCCGATATGAGGAATAACAAACCCAATTATTATTAATCAACGGAAAACAAATTCGAAACAATGGATCCACAAAAATAAAGTTTATATATAAAAAATAAATGGCTACTACTAGATATAACGTAGGGTCAGAGGTGTGTGGAGTAAGTTATCAAGAAACATCACAAAAGCAATTTCACCGTAAAGTTCGCATGTTTATTAAAGGGGAATATGTTGCCAATTTAACAAAGTAACATAGTCTCCGCAGCGTCTTGCTGGCATTAGGGATCGTTTTCTATGTTTCAGTTGCTCGGCTACAATCGCGAAACTCATGAGAACCTCATCACTTTAACCCCTCCTAACGATACCCTCTAGCGATACCAGTGTTTCTTTTCCCCTTCTTTGACCCCCGCCAGCTCCCTTTACCACCACCCTTTACCCCATTACAATACCCCCTCAGGGTCAGGATCATGATTTGGGATGGGACGGGGGGAAGGAATGGTAGTAAGCGGGTCGTGTCAATCTTACATGAGAGAGGAACGAGTCCACCTTCGAGGTCAGAGCAGAAGAGAGTCCATCTTGAGAGTTTACAGAACTAAGAAAAATGTATCCATCTACTGACTCAATAAAACAAGTCAACATCGGAGGAATCAACGGAAGAAAATTGTCTTGGGGGACGGACCGAGAGAGACCAGCCTTGGAGTGTCTGTTCCTGCTTCTTTATCAAATTATCGGTCTGTCTGTCACGCCTCGAATGGCAGCAGTTTGTTACGAATGAAAACCTAACTGAAGAGACTCCGAGTGTCAGCTGGAATGCCAGGACACCGCGCTTGAACTTAAGTACAAGTAAATTTATAGAGGAAAGGAAGTACATCTCTAAAG